CTTTCTTGCCACTTTTGAGAGCAGCGTGGGATAAGGTCCTATGATTCTCTCCTCCATGCCATGCCAGGAGGAAAGGCTGCCTGCCCACTCTGGAGGGCGCTACCTCTGGGACTGGGCCAACAAGGGCAAAGGCTGGGAAAGGGTGCAATGATATCTGTGTGTGTGTGTGTGTGTGTGTGTGTGTGTGTGTACAGTGGGTCCTTGGTATCCACTGGGGCAGGGGTAGGCAACCTTTCTCCTTTAAGGGCCGAGGGACTTCATTCAGCTCCCAGAAGCCTCAGCCATGTTGGCCAATAGTCCCATGTTGGCCAATAGCTCCTGGGATTCTGGGAGCTGAAGTCCCTCGGCCCTTAAAGGGGAAAGGTTGCCTACCCCTGCCCTGGGGTTTGATTCCAGGGCATCCCATGCATGCCAAAATCCATGGGTGCTCAAGTCCCATCAAATGCCTCCTCCTTTGGAGGTCTTTAAACAGAGGCTGGATGGCTATCTGCCCCAGGTGCTTTGGCAGAATGGGGTTGGACTGAGGGCCTTTACAGACTGACAGAAATATTGCAGCTTGAGGCCACTATGACTGCCCTGGCTCAGTGCTAGGGAATCATGGGAATTGTATTTTTTTGGGGGGGGGCAATGAGCCTTCTCTGTCAGAGAGCTCTGGTGCCACAATAAACTACAGTTTCCATGATTCCCCAGCACTGAGCCAGGACAGTTAAAGTGGCCTCAAGCTGCATTATTTCTGGCAGTCTGAAAAGGCCCTGAGTGTCCCTTGTGGTCTCTTCCAGTTCTATGATTCTGTGATATAAAATGGCAAAAGCAAGGTTTGCTTCTTGGAATGTATAAATATTTTTGGAATATTTTCAAGCCATGGACGCTTGAGTTAAAGAATTTGTGGATATGGATGGCCAAATGTATTAGAAAAAGGCATATGCGTTGTTGGTTTTTTTGGGCTTTTTTGAAAAACAGCTCATGGGATCGTCAGAAGAGTTTCCTGTCCTTAATATTGGAAGGATTGCCACCTTTTTATTTTGCTGGGCCCCCTGTGGCTTTCAGATTGGAATGGCAGATAGGAATGGGTTATGGCTTTGTGATAGGCCAGGTGTTTCACATGCAGGGCCGGGATCAAGGCCAGGATATCTGTGGTTGAAACCGGGAAAGCCTCTGCTGAAGATCTTTGGCTTGACTCGACTCAGTAGAAACCAGCTTCATGAATTTATAGGGGGAAACTGTGCTGAAGAATGACTGAGATCGTACATCACTTCAGTGTAGCGTAAATATACACTGGTGGGGTTACGCTACATTAGCCATATATTGAGTGCCAATGTAGCACAGTGTATGTGGATCCATGGTCAGTGTGCATGGCTGACAACACACTGGGCAATCGCAATGCCTAGTGCACAGAGGCAATGCATGGGAGCAATGTGCACTCGCACACAGCTCTCTGTTCTTTAATGTACTACTGCATGCACAATGGTCTCACATGTGCAACTCCACTTACTCTGCTATCAGCTGGATACGACCATTGTGCATTATTTTTTTATTAAAAAAAACTTCATGTGTAGTGCAACTTAATGCCTACATATGTCACTAGGGCCTTTACAGACTGCCAGAAATAATCCAGTTTGAGACCACTTT